TATAATGGGTCATTCCAGCCAAAGAGACGGGAGAGATTACAGCTTGAATCATTTTCTGGAAATGATCCACATTGAGATGCTTAATTCAAAACTTGACACAACCTCGGGGCTAATATATTATCAAATGTTCTGTAAAATGCACCAGATTCAACACAGCAGCTATGGGCATAGCTCAGCGAGGAGGAGAAATGCCGTGGTACGTTACATTTCACAATAGAAAGAAGTGACCTTTTTATTCAGAATATTTTTCCTGACACTGAGACTAGGTCAGTGTATGCTACTGGGTTGGATAATCAAATTAAGTTTATTCTGTTGTGAGGGAATTGCCGGTTCAGGGATTCAAAATAAATTTGTCTCACTGCTTTGTACATGTATATGACTCGGAGGTTCTTAGTCTATAGGAATCATTTGTTTTTGTTCTTCATGAAGCTATAGCATGACCTTCTACACAGATCCCTTCAGCTACCCTTATATGGGGAAATACAAATACCTCGAGAGAGAGAGAGAAACTTATCAGAACAAATCAAAGTTCACTTGGATTTGTACAACATCCAAGTAAGCGTCCAACATGCAGCCACCTTCTACTCTAGTATTGGGAAAGGATGAATGAGATTGTGCGCATCAGCAAGGTGCCAAGGGACAAAGCCTAAATGGCTCTGCTCCAATGAGCAAAGTACATAGTTCTTGTGTGTGTGATATTATATAGGGTGAGCCTTGCATCTAAATTATAGATAGGGTCATCTAGTGCAAGTGGCTGTGTTTACAGATAAATAATTAATTGCCTGGCACAGATGGGATTTATGGAGATGCTTAAGATTATAAATAGTTTAAAGAGGCCGTCATGTTTACTAATGTATAAGAAGGGCTAGGTTTACAAATTATTTATGTATAGGGTAGGATTGAAAATGTACATAAAGGTTATGGATGGGAATTTATTCATTAAATTAGGGATTCCACCGTTTGGAAAACATTGCTCCACACACGCAAAGCTGAGTTCAGTGGTCTTCTTTAATGGCCTACTTTTGCTGAAGTTGCAAGATGTGGTTGCCACCAAGAAAATAAGTACAGAACAAAGTGGAACCACATATAATCTTAGGCTGGATGACCTCAAGAGGTCATCAAGTCCAGTCCCCTGCACCAAGGCAGGACCACATTAACTGAGATCATCCTTGACAGCTGACTGTCTAATCCAGGGTCGGTAACCTTTCAGAAGTGGTGTGCCGAGTCTTCGTTTATTCACTCTAATTTAAGGTTTTGCGCGCTAGTAATAAATTTTAATGTTTTTAGAAGGTCTCTTTCTAGAAGTCTATAAATATATAACTAAACTATTGTTGTATGTAAAGTAAATAAGGTTTTTAAAATGTTTAAGAAGCTTCATTTAAAATTAAATTAAAATGCAGAGCCCCCCAGACCGGTGGCCAGGACCCGGGCAGTGTGAGTGCCACTGAAAATCAGCTCGTGTGCCGCCTTTGGCACGTGTGCCATAGGTTGCCTCGCCCTGGTCTAACCTGTTTGTAAAAACTTCCGATGATGGGGATCCCACAGCTTCTCTTAAAAGCCCATTTCAGTGCTTAACTACTACTATTGTTAGAAAAAAGCAACAGAGGGTCCTGTGGCACCTTTAAGACTAGAGCCGCTTGAGGTAAAACGCCACTTGGAGCCTGCACCCCTGAGCCTCTCCC